AATTTGGAATGCAAAAAGTACTTTTAAAACTTAAATTTATATTATAGGCATTTATTCTGATGTCTTCTTTATTAAGTTAATCAGAGCTTTTCATTTTATTCTTTATTTTACATGTCACATTAAAATGCCTATCCTAATAACTTTAAATGCAGTGTTATTAATATCAGACTCCAGCTTTTTTCTGAATAGCAGTGTCACAGAAGAACTTTTGAAACACTGCCCGTGTAAAGCAAGTGGCGGTAGTGTCCTCACAGGAGAGCTACCACTTCCTTTCTCAGAGAGCCCACAGTCAAGGGTTCGGGGGTTTCCTGCTAACAGCTCCTTGACATCAAGCAGTGAAATCCTGTCACCCACAAATTCCTGCCTGACTCTGCTTACGGAGACCTGCATTCTCCTGGCGTTTCATCTCATGGATTTTTCAGATGGAGTTTTTTGTGCTTTTTTAATTGTTTGACTTGGTATTTTTTGTGCTGACTGGTTTTGTTTATATGATTTCTCTTTTGTCATATCGATGGGGCTGCTTTTCTGGTTCTGAGTATAGCAGTGACGTGCATTCTTTTTCTCTGTCGAGCTGCCAGGACACCCTGGTTCCACCTCAGAGTGCAGGGTTTGCTCTCCAGGTCTTGACGGAGCCAGGCAAAGCCAGGGGCCTTACGCAGCCCGCAGGGCCTGGTCGCCCCGCCAAGTGCTGGCAGGCGTGCACAGGGCAGGCTGCATCAGTGGGCGGCGTGTGGGAGGACCCAGGAGGAGCAGCAAGGGACCCAGGGACGCTGCTGGGCTTCCCACAGATGCGGGAGGCCGCACTTCCTTGTCCCCCGCATGACAGGCGCTTCACCCTCCTTACCTGTGTAGGCGCTATGCCGGCGTCTGTCTGGGAACAGCAGGGAAGCGACCCAAACGTATAAGTTGCAGTGTATTGCAGTTTATTGTGATTGTGACAATTTATAGAGACGTGAAGAGAGCACATAATCTCATCACCCAAAGATGCTAGCACACACATTTACATCTGTGTAAAATATGGATGAACACACAATTTTTTAACTTCAGACTTGTGAGATGACGTACTGTGGAAAAAATAACATAATTGCAACCAATTTGTCTGTGTGTGTGTGTAATTAATAAAATGTGTGTGTGTTTATATGCACATATAGATTAAATACATATTCTTTTAGCTAATGTTAACTCATAGTGGTTCTGATTTTCACTTACTTTTAATTTAACCAAATCCTGTTAAATTATAAATACAAACATTCATCATCATTTTTAGCACCTGCATTTTTGGGTCATGTTGTATCTATATTTTTTATTGTAAGCCTTCTCAAATCCTTTTATAAGAAGGTATTAAAAATCAACAAAGTATAAAAATACTAAAGGATTATAAGAATCAACCCAAATCTTTTTCACCTCTTTCTTTAATGCTTGATTTTAAATGTATCTTCTTTAGATCACCTGTAACTAAGAAATGTATTTTGTTTACTCTAAGGTTTTCCTCTTCATAGTTTGCTTTACTTTTGTCTATAGTTTTTATGGATGAAATTTTAAGAAAATGTAATAATTCCTTATTGATTGTCAAATATATGAGTTTTAGTGTAATTTTCCCCTTGATTTCTGGGATCTTACTTCAGAATAAAGAAGAATAAAGCAGTCACAGAACTTTTTAAAATCAGCCCTCATAATATAAATTCCTTTAAGTTCTAGTTATAAATTTGGATCCATCCCTGAAACCCTACTTCATATAAAAGAAATACCCAAAGTGATCACAAGAAGAAAACTACAAATATGTGCACAGCTGTATATATTTATAAATTTTTCAAAATTAAGTACTTGCTATGAAAGGCATACTTAGTAGGAAATCCTCAAGGAGATTTGTGTGTGTGTGTGTGTGTGTGTGTGTGTGTGTATGTGAACTATTCTTCCTAAAACTTTTTAAAAAATATTAAAATGATGTTTAGGTTGAAGATGGTTTCTCCTTTTTTAATCAATTTCTCTTTAATAAGCATCGATATTCCATAATAATAGCTGAATTTAAAAAATTTTTCTTTTTTATTCATCCCATTAGAATGTAAGCTTCCTGAAAGCAAAGATAAGTGCCGGGCAGGTAATGGATTTATAGTAGGTACTTGTTGAATAAACAAATGTTTCCAGAACCCCATGCCACTTACAGCTAGTGTCTGCTGTTGTGAACATTTGTGTTGGTAATTAGATGCTCATGAATGATACAAAATCTGGTATCCATGGCAATTTCCTTCTTCACTGTGCTCCCTACCCTTTCATTTTAAAGCAAGCTTCATTGCTGAGCCATGTGAAATGCCCACAGTTGGGTCATGAGTGCGTGTGGGGGGGTGTCCAGACACCCTGGGCCCTGGAGTCTTAGAAGGAGACACTGTCCATTAGGGGTTCTTCACCTGGAGCCCTGCATGGTCTGCGAGGAGTCAGGAACTGCATCTCTGTTACTTTGAACACGTCTTTGTGGAAAGACATCGGTTTTACTGTCTGATTATATTGTTAGAATATTGTTTGACTGCAGACTTACGAGGCGGCAAAGAAGTCACCTTTCCCACAAGAGACTGCGGTCTGGGCTACAAACCCTCGTTCATGGTCTCAGCCACTGGACATCCGCCTCTGGACTCTTCAATACGCTTACATTTTCCTTGGACAAGGGCGTTCCACTACATGAGAATTCCACATGTAGGAAGCAGGGTTGCTTTCTCCAGGCAGATTTCACTGTGCTCACTCATCTCAGCTAAAACACCGTGTTCCCCCAATTTAGCGTACTTGACATTCATTTAACAAAAAATTGTGTGACCTCTATGTTGGAGGAAGAGATAGAGGATGCACTTCTAAATCAGTGCATAAATGTGGTGAAAAATCCGGAAATCAGCTGTAGGTAAAAATTTTCTTTCAAGTACTTTAATCTGCCCATAAAGAAAAAATAAAGCTGGTTTTTATAAACACATACCAGGAGAGTATCTTATGCACACTGAAGTTTGAGGAACAATAAGCGAAACTAAAAGGAAAAGCAAAAGGAACATTTATTTACAGATGTCTGGACATTCTAACTCTTCTTCCCTTGACCTGCCTTTCACGTCTTAGTGATGGTGGCTGGGGGGGTGGAAAGTTCCAGAAAGTTCCAGCTTGCCACCTCCATTCAGTCCTAGTAGCAAGCCCGCTCATGCAGCTGCTGCTGTTCATATGCGCCTTTTAATCCACCTTGACTTTTCACCTATGCTCATTGAATGTATTAGGTAAAAACTTTAAAATGTTAAAAACATATAAGCCTTTTTCACTTTAGAACCTGTTAATAAAATTTGTTGTAATGATTAAATTAAATGGTGTCATCTTCAGAGAGGTTTAAGAGGATCAGGGGTTAGGAGTTGAAGAGTAAATGAAATATTTCTATGATGTGACTTCAGTGTAGACAATAAAATAAATGTTTTGCCTATAACATGCTTATTAGGAATATCAGATGCAATAATCAAACCATTATAGAATAATTATAAGAAAATTGTATAAGCAAGCGTGCATTAATAAAAGAATACAAAGCATAGGTTCTATTTATTGAACACCCACTATTGAGCACCTACTGTCCCAACCTGGTAATTTTTAAAAGGTTTCCAGGTAAAGTCAGTGTGCAACTGGTGTTGACATATAGTTTAGTTTCTGAAGCATCTGAGGGACATGACTGATAGAATATTTTTGGAAGACAAACTGGATGGTTGTGTGTGTGTGCACGCATGTGTGTATCATGTGTGCACTTCTGTGTGCATGTGCGTGTGTGTGCGCGCATGTGTGTCATGTGTGCACTTCTATGTGCATGCTTGTGCATGTGTGTGTGCGTGCATGTGTGTGTATAAAGCTATGATTGCTGGGGCATGTGTGGGATTTAGGGACCAGCTTGGAAGCTACTGGTTGGTATGTGATTTGGGACTAAACTTCGTGTTATTTGTGAAAATGACTGGTAAGCAATTAAGTTGGGGAAATTAGAGAACCAGGAACCAGCAGACCTCAGTGGTTTAGTTAATAAAACTATTAAAAGAGAAAGAAGAACAACAGCTCTGTGTGAACGTGAGGGACGTGTTGTTGTCAGATGAATTAGGCTGTGCTTTGGAGCAGCTCCGAAGCACGAGATGTTTGGCTTGTGACGTGAGCACTGGTGCTGGGGTCTGATTGCTGCACGAGACACAGGTAGCAACGGCATTGAATTAAAGGCTGCTTCCCTGTGACGGGTCAGGAGAGGCCCAGTTTCTGTTCCCCTTCCTCTGAAAGGGCCTCATAAATCCAATTTCTCTGGGTCAGAACCAATGGCATGGGCATGGGACACCCAGAACCAGTGGACCTCACGTGGAACCTTGGCCGCTTTGTCTCTCGCACCCTGTTGGTCACACAAGTATATTCTGGCTGTGCCATGTCTCCACAGGGGACAGCCCTTCAGAGGGTTTCCTCAGACCGGGTGTGACCCACCAGTCTCACTTTATCTCTGACCTGAGCTGACAAGCAGCCCCAGCTCCTGGGCCCACTCCACACAGTTGCATTGCTAGTGGGTGTGTGTCATGCTTGGCCAGGGTGCCACACAGGGACGTGTGTTATTCCAGCAGATACGAAACGCTGGAATGAACCCTCACAGCACAATTCATGGTCACTTGAGATGCGTGTGGGTTGTGTCATGCGAGGACTGCAGATCTCACAGACTTTCCGAGGTGTGTGTGTTTGAACAAACCGCGGTGCAGCCAGATTTGCGGGCACTCCCACTTGGGAAGCTCTTGAGAGGCGGTCTTGAAATGACTATCAAGTTGTGTTATTTTATTTTCCTCCCAAAGGAATATGGACGTCTAGCTCTAAACTTGTTTTAACTTTTATCTTACAGATTTTAAAAACCAGATTCTTAGATTTCATTTCCTGAGAGGAAGCATCGAAAAAGAGCCTCCTAGTTTATTGTTCTCTGATCCCCAACCTACTCCAGGTTTCTAACTGTGTCTTTCCCTTCCTTCTCCCCTCCCCAGATGAAGCGGCTCCTAAGGAAGTCAGCAGGGTAAGTGATGTGACTGTCATTCCCCCCCCCCCCCCCCCCCCCCCCCCCCCGCCACTGTGCAGGAGCCGAGTCTTTCCATGTACTGTCTCAGTGCCGACACGTCAGCGTTAGGAAAGTATGACAAAACGGGGAGCCCACTCGAAGTGCCCCTGTCAGCATGGGACCCGGTCCCTAGGGAGAGAGACTGCAGATCAGAGGCCTGAAGACGGAGCGCAGCCAGCACAGGCGCTTCGCCTGCACGCGCTGATGGTGGTTTCTGAATCGGTCGATGACATAAAAAATTGAGAGACTGCATATTAAGATTGGATTTCTAGCTCCTCTTAGGAAACTAAGATAAGGTAACAGACACAGCGCCCCACATGGCAATGGCTTGCTTTGATCCCCCCCCCCGGGGGCTGACACGTGTGCTGCCTGGTGGGCTCCTGCCTTTGAGTTCAGGCACCTGCTCGGTGGGAGAGCGCAAGGTGGCTCCTCATGTTGGGAGATGTGCGATTCCTCAGTCCTTTCAGAAATAGTAAGCGAACGGGTTTCCTGTCTGAGAGAAATGCTCAGGGTTAACTGAAAAGACGTGGCAGACTTAAAAGCTTATGGGAAACAAGTGCTGAAAGCACTCAGCACATTGGGTTTAATCCTATGGGCTTCTAATTAACGACAGTGAAAAACTATCTTAATTATATGTCCTGCATACAGATAAAGGTCTAACTGGGGGGTAAATATTGACAATAATCAGTCTGATTTGCACCAGCTTTATCATAAAGCGTGACCTGGGGCGCTGGTAGTGTGACCACGTCCACTGATCCGTTCCTTTAGTTCTGACAGTCCGAGGAAAGGAATCTGAAATGAGCAGAGCGTTTGCCGCACAGCGGCCGGAGTTCCCTCTGTCCTTCCCAGCCGAGCAGACTCCTGAGGTGTCTGTGAGTCTCGGGGTTTTACTGGGTCCCTTCACTGCTGACTCCCCATATACAGAGCTCACAGTTAGAGTTCCCAGGTCGGCCTGCTTCGAGGTGTGTCGAGGGGTGGAGGGTCGGCCTGGGCATTTTGCAGCTGCTGGGAGCAGCAGTAGAGGCTTAAAAGTGATGCTTGAGGCTAGGAGGAGGGTCCTCAGAAGTGAACTTGGGCAGTCCTGACCCTGGGTATCGGTGTTGGCAAAGTTGCAGTCTCAGGGCACCGAAGGGGTGCCACATGGCTATAAGTCGGGGCAGGAAGGGGTGCCACTTGGCCGAAAGTCGTGGCGGGAAGAAAGAAACGCAGCTTCCTCACTGATGTTCCCTTGACAAAGCCTGAAGAGCTGCCGTGCACAGGGAATGCCCTGATGGCCTGGACGGCATTGGTTTTGGAGGCAGTAGGTAAAGGGTTCCCCCGAAGAGGTGGTTCCGACCCATCCGTGTGATTCCTTACGTCCTGTCCTGTTGACTGCAAAGATTGGACGTGGGTTCTGACACGTTGCTTATGTCCGTAATTAACTCTCCCCAGTTGCTGGAGCTCTCCTGCACCTCATGTCCTCGCGTACAAAGATTCTGGTGCCATAGTGTCATAACTGACTGCATTTGCAGGCCACTGCTTCAAAGGCAAAGCAGGTTCTAGAAATTATATAGACAAAGTACAGACTTTTTACCAAATCCATTCCTACATATTTTAGTTTTGCAAAGCAACGTCGCCAAACTTGGCGGATCTGATGATGACATGGCCACCCAGGAGAGAGGCAGGCAGTCATACCACCTGTAAGGTGGTTGGAAATGATGATAAATCTACACTTAGTGGCTTCTCTTTGCTGTTAATTTATGTTAATTTTATGCCACATTTGGAGAGCATTCATCTCTACCTGAGAAATACTAAATATATGAGTTGACAGCCTACAATAGTATTAGTTGCCAGGATATTTTGAAGTTTTTTTCTGAACGTACCACGTAGATCAATGCTGATTTGATGGATACTCAGAATTTGCTTTATGAAATGGCATACCATTGTTTTAAATTTTAAAAGTTAAGGTTTAGAAATACTAAGTGCAATTGTTTGGGAGGGGTAGCTGGCCACAGGGCTTCTGTTTGAGCACATCTGTGGTCAAAAAGTGTGTTCTTAGGCCCCCGGCAGTGCTGAGCCATGTGAGAGACTTTCTCGCTTACAGCCAAACACCTGTCCTTCATTGTCATGCGTCAGTATGGTTGAGACTGTGGCAACTCAGGAGGCCCTCCCCTTCCTCCAGGTGAGAGCTCTTTGAGTAGAGGGATGGTGTTCTGTCTTCCCCAGTGAAAGACACACACACACACACACATGCACGCATGCACACACAGCAGGCAGGGGTAAGTACCATGGTAAATGCAGAGAAGAATAAAGCAGAACAAAGGGATAGACAGTGATGGTGGATTGGGAGTGGGCCGACCAGCTCCCTGTACAAATACCGTAGTCCCGGGAGGGTTACTTGCTAAGTTGACATTGGAGCGGGGATGTGAAGGGACTAGAGAATCAGCGAGAGGAAGAGACAGCGAGTGCAAGGCCCTGTGGCAGGCCCATGTGGCTGGAGCCCAGTCAGCAGCGGGAAGTGTGGGGGAATGCGGTTGCCATAGAATAGGGGTGTTTATGGTCTCACAGCCCGCTGTGTAGGCTTCCGGTGGGGCGCTGAAAGCACTTGGTAGCCATTGGGTAAACGGAGTGGGAAAGTGCCTTGTGGGGAGAACCAGTCTGGCTGCCGAACTGAGAGCACACACAGGGAGGTGACGATGGAGACAGTGGACCTGGTGGGCGTCCAGGAAGTGTGGGCAGCGGACAGTGATGGCCAAGAGTGGGGTGTCGTGCAGGGGAAGTGTGGTCAGAGGAGGGAGCACTGGCGGGCTCTGCTCGGGGCTTGACTGATATGCGAGGAGAGAGGAATCGCGGATGACGCCACGGTTTGGGTCTGAGAACCTGGAAGAATAAAGTTTCTCTTTACAGGTATTATGACGACAAGGAGGAATGGGGTTGAGTGAGGTTGGGAAATCAGTAAGCTAGTTTTGAACTTGTTAAATTTGAGTTATCAGACACCAAATTGGAGATATTTAGAAAGCAAGTGAATATACTGTCGAGCTAAGAGTGAAGTTCCTAGCTCAATATGTATATTTGGGGGTCTGTAGCACAGTCAGTATTTGATACCGTGGGACTGCATGATGTGACTTAGGAAGTTTATCTGTGGAGAAAAAAGGTCTGCGCCCTAAACTCTGGACACTCCAGTGGTTTAGTGGAGAGGATGTGGAAAAGTTAGCCAAGGAGATTAAGAAAGAGAGAAGTTGGCAGAGTTGGGGGAAAAGCGAGAAAACTTCTGTCAACAGACTTTGTTTTATAATTTTAACTGTGATATTACAGATTTATTTAAGGTTAATTTTATCTGACTGTGACCCATCCCAACCTTTGAGCAAGTCTCAGTCTTTTGTCCTCTAACCTATTACGTATTCCTCTGTTTTGAAGCCACAAATTGGAGCAATGCATCTAAGTTGTTTTCCTGGGCCCCCATTTCAATAATGTATCACCAGGGAGGTAAGTGAGGACAGACCTAAGGGAGTGAAGAAGTGAACTCCGCTGAGCACTAGGGTAAGAGCATTCTGGGGGGGGGGGTGCACAGCAAGTGCAAAGGCCCCGAGGCAGGAGTGTGCCCGGCGAGGAGGCCATCGGGCTAGCAGTGAATGAGGGAAGGGGAGGCTGGGGCAGGGGAGACCTGGGGGATGCAGTGTCAGTGTCAGTCATCTCTGCCTCATTTCTTTTCATCTCATCAGCACAATTCATCCTTTCTTTTATTATTACTAGTTGTGTTGTTAAAGTGGTTCCAGCTTATAAATCACAAAGATTATTTTATAAAAAACTAGAAAGGGAGAGAAAAATATCATGACAAGAATCATGTTTGGATACCAAGTAGCAGCATATGCCAAATACTAGCCAGGTCTAGAATTTTGGGGTACTGCCTTTGCTTCTCATAATGCTGTACATATGTTCCTTTACATTATGAGTTTTTTTGTATAACTTGCTTTTTAAATTTCTGAATATTAATAAAAATCTGTCATTTGCTCTTGGAATTCATTATTTTTACTGGTTTCTCTGGAAATGTTTCAACTGCTGTGAATTTAGGCTGGCATGTGATGAGCTTTCTCAAATGCCTGTCTTTGGGATGTTTTTTGCTTATTTCTTGGTGCAGTGGTCCTATCCTATTTGTTTTGTTCTCTTCAAAGTCCGTGTCTTTTATCTTCTCCTATCCTTTTCCTCTTCATTCTAGAAGGAACACCTAGATTTTCTCTCTGTTTATGGACAGGTGCTTCTGCAGCCTGGGTCTGCTTTGTGTTCTCTATAATTCTAATTCATGGTGGCTCCTTTACATTAAAGTTACTCCTGTAATTTGGTGCTTTCTCTTCATTTTAGTCTTTCTCATGATGTCATTGATAATTTCTTATTGCTAGTTTAAGCTTTCTTTATAGAGTCTAATGTTATTTGGTTCAAGTCATACTGCTTTGTAATAGTCAGACGTTTCGGTTGCAAGATGGATGTTTGAATACGGACACACGCTAACAACTGGATTTTAGGACCTCAATCGGCCTAATGGGAAGTTGAGGAAGAGAGCTCATTTTCCTTCTAACTGTTTGCTCCAAATGCAGATTATGAGAGCAATGCTCAGTTTTACATAGAAGGGAAAAAGTTTATATAAAATTGAGCATGTGCTGTTCTTTGAGGAATATTTTGGTAATTTCACACAAAGAATTTTCTCCTTGCTATTCAAGCCCTTTGTATTTATTTGTGTTATCTTCCTTCTTTCTTCTTTGCAACTTGAAATTTCTTTGGCTCACCATTTTTATTGAAGAGTGTTGGGCCCTGCGGGGTTAGGTGGTAGGATTTCCTTAATCCACATCTGCTCTAAAGATTGAGGGAGGGACAATTCAAACCCACCTTCTCTCAGAAAGAGTGGAGGCTGTGAAAGACACCCCCCAACCAGGCGGGTGGCAAAAGCAACTGCGTGGCGGCTGGAAGTGAAACTTGACTATCTT